GCTATCGGTGACTAAGCCTCAGTGGAGTAGACCAAAACAGGAGCCGCGCCACCGCGTAGCTCCGCACCCGAGTTTCACCAAATTGGCAACAATTAGTAGTAAATAACTTATAAATAACCATTCACGATAAAAGCGGAAAGGACGAAAAACTGTGTTCGTTTTGGTAATCAATTCGCAAAATCAGAGGGTCTGTTACGCGATCAATTCCTGCACATCTATCAGAAATGTTGACAGCAGAACGATGCCTTTTGGTTCTCGGAGTGCCTTCATTAGGAGCTCTTTTTGGCCTTCTCCCTCTATGCAATAACATTTCTCTTCTACTGCATCCTATTCTTTCAACCTTTTTTCGCTATTCTCCAATTCGCGCGATTTTACCCAAAATTGGTCTTCGCAGATTTGTTTCTCTCTAACGTATTCATGCTGGGAAGAGTGCTATAATTTTCCGTAATTTTCTCTTTTGACACATTCACAAGCGCCTTTAGTTTTGATGTGCAAAATTGACGCTTTCGTCGGTTGCGGACATGGCTATATGGTGGGAAGCTTGTTCTAGTGAGTTTGTTAGGGAATGCTTTTGTAAGACATGAGGTTATGCGAGGAATTTCTGAAGAAGTTCGGTGCACTGTGTATCCACTAAGCGTATGCGTAAGTGCAGGCTCATGCCTTTGCGAGCTCTTGCGCGCTTGCAAGCCTGTGAAGTACGAAAGTCGTCGTGAGAATGAAGGGGACTTTGCCTACATTCCCTCTCCTATGAGTCCCTGATGCATCGCTCAACCAGCTAGCTTATCGTTCGAACCTCGACGCAGGCCTACACTCCGCGAATCGCTAGATTCGCAGATATGACACCAACCTTAAAGACAGAGTCGCGATGGAATTGGCCTATTATTGGTTACCAGTTTAGCTCCGCACGCAACAGCGCGCATTACAGGTGGTATTCGTTAGACTGGACAACTTGCAGAATATTAGGTCACGTGGCTGAGAAACCAATAGTAAGATGTTTCGGAAGATGCGTCAGATGAGTCCAAAGGTCATTTCTGAAGATTATCGCGTAATGCGCGCAGTAGCATGCGGAATGAAACTGGTACTTATCATGACTTCGTAAACATTTAGCTCGAGCTCGAATGAATTAGCGGTTTATAGAATTTCTACTTTGAGTTTCGGCGTTGGAGTGAAATATGACTAATCAGTCAGCATTTAACCTAGTTCTGATGGAAATCCGCCACTGGTCCAAGTTCAGATAATTGAGCGGCTCAACATCCTTTGCTTCTTTCGGTTTCGGTGAACGGTTAGG